ATAGATTTAGGATACAAAGTTTTAATCTTTTGTGTTCATTTATTTTATTTGATTCCTCTGTAACCGAATGATGTGTTAGGATTTTCTTCAACTGGCATTTGCTGCTAATTCAGGATTATCTGCTTGTTTTACTGGATTGATGTGATTCGATTTGTAGTTGTACTTGAATTTTTAGATTAGATCTCAGCTAAAGACAGTAGTTGTTTTTCAAGAAAACTGCACATGGAAATGGAGGCCGGAAAAATCCCCAGAACACAGAGTCAGGTAAGAATCTAAATCTATATACTTTAAACTTTAAAGTCATTAGCTTTTTACTTTTTAAATTTTTTATTACCCCCTTTTAATTTCTATATCTTGATGCCGTGTCACCTGTGTTTGAAATCACAGATGCGTATCTTCTATGTTCAGTGCAAAGTGAATAATAACATGTAACATGTATGTCCATTTATCAACAAGAAATTTGCTATTAAGGTTCCAAGCTTCTTTCCTTATTAGCTTTCCTTCCGTAGAAATATGGAATTCAAATATCATAAACTGCTGGTGCTGGTGAAGTCTACATCTGTGTCAGATTATTAGGTTCCAATTGAAAGAGGAAATTCTAATGTTCTATTGCCAGATTATATGTCTACATTAATAGGACATCCAATAATGGTACTCATAGGTCATAAGGAAAACAATATAAGCACTTTATCATTAAAACAACTTCAGTAAAAATGACCATTATGGTGTGGCGGTAGCCCCTAATTGTTTTAACATGCTGTGCGCCAAGTTGTTTCTGATTAAGAGTCATCATATCTTTTTAGACATGTTCTGTTGTTGGTTTTGATTGGTTCCATTTTGTTCTGTCTTCTTGTTGGCCTAAGCGAAATGATTATCTGCCAGAACTATCAAGAATTATGTTCCAAATATAATAAAAAATAAGAATAAATTTGTGCATTATGGTAGAATATATTGTATTCTGGTTAATAGCAACTTTAACAGCTTTTAGATTTTATGTTTGGCATGTTCCATACAATCAAGTCTCTGTTCTATGTAATGGAGAATATGAGTATTGCATATTTTTAATCAATGCCTTTCTGTTTGGTACTCATTTATTCTGAAATTTATGACTTGGGAGGCCTTGCTATTTGGGAAGCGAGGTCAACTTCCCGAAACATGCTAGTATGCAACCATAACTCAAGGAGCTGACACATGTGACACAAACTCAAATCTCAACTGCTTTAACTGCAAAGCTGCAAAGAATTACTTGATCTCTTCGTGATGAATGGGAAGAAGAAATCTCTTGTTCTTTTTGAAACTGAAGAGCAGCCCTTTTGTTTAATCATTCCAACTCACTTGGTGGGTCCATTATGGCATTATCTGAATTTCATTCTCTCAGCTACAGTCAAAGAGAAAACTTGCATTAATATGCTAACTGTTTGGAACTGCAATGGTGTACCAGGATTAGAGATTCATTGCTTCCCAGGATATTTATATGGGTGATGGGTCATCTTTGGTCTCTTGTTTCCATGTACGCTGGTTTAATTGCTTTGACAGTGTTGGAAACTAGAATTTCCTTTTATTGTCATCTTTATTGGCTCCTAGTTCTTTTACCGTATTTTTTAGGATCCATAGAAATTCAGGGTAGCCTTTTTTGCTTTTCTGATCTGATAAGTTTGGAGGAAAAAGGGGGACAAAATGTACTGCACTGTGACCTGTTCTCCTAATGGCTTATAAGGTCTGTGTTGGCATCTTGTTTGTTGATGAGTTAGCGGCATAGACCAATGTGCTGCCACTGCTATGACAACCAATCACTCTAATTAGGCTTTGGTCTGTCATTTTCTCTAGTTTTGTCATCTGTGTTGGCATCTTGTTTTGTTCCAACGTTCTGTGTTTTTAATTATGCTACTGATGCGATCAGCTACTCACTGTGTTGACCAAGGGGGAGGCAAGAGAAAGGGTAATTAGACACATCCAAATTCTGTACATTGTTATTTTTTATTCCCATCTTTTGTTTAGTTTTAATGTGCCTTTAGTGTTATCATTGATTTACAGAATGCATCTGTTAATAGATATTTCAAGTGTAGATCAGTAACATGTTCCCTGGACATCCCAGCAATTAAGAGCTTGAACCTCCATGCTGGAGGTCTCAAGTTTGAATAGTGGGAAATATGCAATTAGTCTTTTGTTCTTTTTCTGGTGTATAGTTGTTGAGTGCTTCATTGGAAATGTTGTCACTTCCATTGGTGCTTTTGCTATATATATAGAGTCATGGCATGCTGATATCTTTTTCTAGATCTCAGAAAGAACCAAGGTACTGTTGAATAGATACCTGAACTCAATTTTTTTTATACATAATGAAACTTTGTAGGAAATGATTATGGAATTCTCCCGTCAATTGTTTCCCCATTTTGTCTTGTAATACAATTATCTGCCAGAACTATCAAGAAGTATGTTCCCAATATAATAACAAATAAGAATAAATTTTTGCATCATGTTAGAATAAATTGTATTCTGGTTAATAGCAACTTTAACAGCTTTTGGATTTTATGTTTGGCATTTTGCATCCAATCAAGCCTCTGTTCTATATAATGGAGAATATAATATTGCATATTTTTAATCAATGCCTTTCTGTTGGGTACTCATGTACTGTGAAATTTATGATTTAGGAGGCCATGCTATTTGGGAAGGGAGGTCAACTTCCCGAAACATGCAAGCATGCAACTATAACTCAAGGAGCTGACACGTGATGCAAACTCAAATCTGAACCACATTAACTGCAAAGTTGTGCAAAGAATTACCCATGCTCTTCAGGATGAATGGGAAGAAGAAATCTCTTGTTCTTTTTGATACTGAAGAGCAGGTCACTGCAGTCCTTTTGTGTAATCATTCCTACTCACTTGGCGGGTCCATTATGCGGATTTCACTCTCAGCTACAGTCAAAGAGAAAACTTGCATTAATTTGCTTATGGTTTGGAGCTGCAATGGTGTGCTAGGACTAGAGATTCATTGCTTCCCAGGATATTTATATGGGTGGTGGCTCATCTTTGGTCTCTTCTTTCAATGTATGCTGGTTTAATTGCTTTGACAGTGTTGGAAACTAAAATTTTCTTTGATTGTCATCTTTACTCGCTCCTAGTTCTTGTACCATACTTTTTACGATCCTTAGAATTTCAGGGTGGGCTTTTTTGCTTTGCTGATCAGATAAGTTTTGAGGAAAAAGGAGGACAAAATGTACTACACTACACTGTGACCCGTTCTTCTCTTGGCTTAGAAAGTCGGTGTTGGCATCTTGTTGGTTGATGAGTTAGTTGCATAGACTTATGTATTGCCACTGCTATGATTACCAATCAATCTAATTCAGCTTATGGTTTTTATTAGCAACTGAAATGTTAGAGACTAATTGTTAACATGTTGGCTTTGCTTAGTGGGCTTGATTCTTATTGCTCTATAC